TTGCCAAAAACAGTTTTTAATCACATATAAAAATCACAATTTATACAAACAAAGGACTGAAGTAATATTGGCAACCTTGATATTGGCATTTTTTTTTAAAAAGTCTGAATGCTTGACTTTTCAATCTCACAGTTTCATTATACAAAACTTCCTAAAGATTTATAAAAATCAAAACCTCTTCACATGGAGCACTACAGACTTCCACATGGCTCATCAGCAGAGTAGGAACTTTTAATCCATAGTACGGACTTCTATCACTTAAGCCAATAATGAGCGGCAGCAGCAAGAGGCTGTTATCATCTATGAGGCCCTGACACCGGAGGAGGATGCAAGTCACATTTTGTCACTAGTTTTCAAAGCTACTTGCTAGACAACAAAGGAAGTTGAGGGCTCTGAAATCCTCTTTTTCATTTCAAGTTCTGGAGAAGAGTATTCTTCAGCTCCTTGTGCTCCCATCCCTCACAGTTTATCCCCAACCAAACTTACTCCTCAACAATCTGCATTTGAGTCAGGGGGCTTTCCCTTTCTCCTCCTTTCTCTCTGGGCACCTGCATAGGGAGCCCTGAATGCACAAAAAGGTTAGTTTCATTGCTCTTACTTCTGGTGCCTTGCACATGATCCCAGTGCTGCTGGACACAACCAATGCAACACAAGTCCTACTCTGCTACCACAATCCAGTAGTATGCTTAAGACACAATGTCCAGAGAAGTTTGCTCCGAACCTCTAGAAAACCCAGACAGAACCTGTAGAAATGGTGATTTTCTGAAGCATAACAACACAGCTAAATGTAAAGCTTTAAAAAAGTAAAAAAAGCAAGCTTGAAGACAGCCAGACTGGAGAATTAGAGTCCAAATGCTGTAAAACAAGGTCATATAATGGAAAGCACTAAGCAACCACAATGAGGTGTCATTTCCAACTACATCTGTAACAATCTCTTCCTTAATCTTGAGTCTTTGAAAAACACTAACCTAAAATGATAAGTGATCAAGCAGGACTTTAGCTGGAAGATCAAGAGAACTGGATATTGAACCAGAATAACAGAACTGCAGACACTGAGTTTTGAGTCATCTAAAAACTTACCTTCAGAGTAATGCTAGTATCAGAGCATTGCTCAGTAGCAACATGACATTAACAGAACTGGTCAATTTTTATGGCTCCTATTCAGAATCTCTGTGGGCTGTATCTAGTGAAACTGCCAAGAATTGAGTTAGTTCTATAGTACTGCTGCTACTGAATTGTTATAGCCCAGAGCTAAAGCAGAGGCACGAGTTACACACTAGAGAGGAGAATACACAAAAAGGGGATGGGGCAAGGTATAGAAGCTCAGACACCCTTCACTGGGAATGGATGGAACAGCAGAATACTCTCCTGTTCTTCTAGTAGCCAAGATGGTGGAGAAGCAGCCAAATAAACTCCTCATTCTGGTGAAAGTCAGGGAGAAATCCTCTTTCGATAAACCAAAGGCCCTGGCACTGGGCTGGAGGGAGGGGCACTTTCCAGCTGCCGGGAGAGGCTGGGAAAGGAGCTCACTGCCAAAAACTGGTACAAGAGACTGAGTCCGTGAAGAGGGCCCAGGAACACCTTCCTTTACCCTAAAACAAAAGGAAAAACTAGGTGGCACTTTAAAGACTAACAAGATGGTTTATTAGATCTGGGTCTGGCACAGGAAAGCTCATCACCTATTAAACCACCTTGTTAGTCTTTAAAGTGCTGCCTAGTTTTTCCTTTTGTTTTAGCAAGATCAGACTAACATGGCTACCTCTCTATTACTATTCCTTTACCCTATGCACTGCTCAGCAGTAGAGTGTTGGACTTTTCACCAGGACACTGCCCCACATCTTTTCAGGTCCCTCACTCTTCCCTACATCTTTCATATTAACCCCCAGCTAGTAGGTATCTGGTAAATTTTCATGCCTTATGTGTCTACAAAACTCCCAGAAAAGAGTTCAATATATTTAGTTTAACAAAGAGAAGGTGAAAGGGTGACTTGATTATGGCCTGTAAGCTCCTACAAGAGGAACAAATATTTAATAAGCTTGTCAGAATAGCAGAGAAAGATTCCATGCGATCTAGTAGCTGGAATGTGAAGCTAGGCAAATTCAGACTGGAAATAAGGCATAAATTCTTAACAGCAAGTGTAACTGGAGCAATGTACCAAGGGTTGTGGTGGATTCTCCAAACTGGCCATTTTTGAAAGAAGATGGGATATTTTTCTAAAAGATCTGCTCCAGGAATTGGAATTTGGTAAGTTCTTATGATCAGCGTTATACAGGTCCATAAGCCCTGGTCTACTCTTAGCCCTTATTTCAAAACAACAAGCAGATACCCACACTGCCAAGCCTGTTATTTTGAAATAATAGGCTGGTTATTTCAAAATAATAACTCCTGCTCCTCACAAGGCATAATGCTTATTTTGAAATAATTATTTCAAAACAGAAGTCTGTGGATGCTCCAATGCTGCTACAGTATTTCAAATTACTCCCTAGTGCTTCCTGGGGCTCTAAGTCAAGGTAGCGCGTCCACAATAACAGAGCCTGCCTTTTGCACTAATATTGAGGCTTTCCAGTAGTGTGGACATGCTATTCCAAAACTGTTACTTCGGGAGTTATTATTTTGACATAATTTCCTAGTGTAGACACATCCCAAGTGATCACAATAGTTCCTGCGGGCTTTGGAGTCTCTGATTCTATCCCATTCTATGCACCGCTGCATGACTGCAATGAGGGCACTACCAGCAGAACTTCTCCATGAACAAAATGGCCTGCTGTGCCCCTTCCTCTCCTCCAACCATGGTCCATACTGGAGATGCCCTTGATACAATCAGCATATCCAGCAGGAGACCTTAACAAGAATTTTCTTGGAAAAAACATTTCCCCCAGTTTTCCTCATTTGTCCCCTTCTAGAAGCAGAGTTGTGGGCTCCATTTATCCCAATTATTGCTAGTCATTCTTCCCTTACCTTGCCTAGGACAGTGAGGCATGGCTTTGGCTCCAGCTCAGGCTGTTCCAGCTTCACCACTCCTACCCAACCATACTCATACAAGTCCTCTTCATCATTGCTATTACACAGTCCCAGTGGGTGCATCTGAAACAGAACAAGGGGAGAGAAGAGAAGCTGGTAAATGCCTTCACCAAAACATTAACATCAAAACAAAACAGTGGACACTGTGATGCAAGTACCAAAATATTCCACTGGTAGCCTTAATACAAAGCACAGTACATTTATCTGTGAAACACACAGTAAAGAGAGAAATATCTGCTTGCTGTTCAGACAGCGGCATGTCAGAAGTTGAGAGAAGTTCTAATGCTCATTGATGTTCCATCACTTCAAAAAGAGGTGTAACCGCTGGTATAAATAAAGGGAGCAGTCCCTTCATCATTGATAGAAGGTAAAGCATCTTTTGAAGGTTTCTAGAGTTAGGCTCCTCATATTTTTCCATATGAAAGAGAATTTGGCATCTGCCAAGTACAAGCAATAGAAAAAGACTCAGTTTTTGTATGTAAAAGGTAAGCACACTGACAAATTAACTACAACTCCAATATGAAACTGTTAGCATAATGTACAAAAATCATGTGTTCTAGAAGGGGCAGATTCTGATTCCCAAGTGAGATCCAGAACCATAACAACATCTCAAACCTACACACATGCAAAAACAACAGCACATTGCATTTATGATGAATGGGGCATGGAATTTGGACTCCTAGCCAACAGGAGATTTTTCAGCAGAAGACATGAGAACTTCTGAATCCCATAACTACAGTGTGTCTAGGAGTTACAAAGCCCCAACAGAGGTGGTTAGAGGTATGGAACGGCTGCTATATGAAAAGAAATACATAAGACTGGGACTTCTCAGCTTGGCAAAGAGATGACTAAATGGGCGATAATAGAGGTCTATGAAATCATGACTGGTTTGGAGAAAGTGAACAGGGAAAAGATATTTACTCCTTCCCATAACACAAAAGAACTAGGAGTCACCAAATGAAATTACTAGGTAGCAGGTTTAAAACAAACAAAAGGAAGTTTTTCTTCACACAATCAACCTGCGGAACACCTTTGCCAGAGGAAGCTGTGAAGACTAAGACTCTAACAGGGTTTTAAAAAGAGCTAGATAGATTCACAGAGAACAGGTCCATTAATAGCTATTAGCCAGGAAAGGCAGGAATGGTGTCCCTAGCCTCTGTTTGTCAGAGGCTGGGAATGGGTGACAGGGAAGGGGTCATTTAATGATTCCCTGTTCTGTTCACTCCCTCTGAAGCACCTGGCACTGGCCACTGTTGGCAGACAGAACACTGGGCTAGAACGAAGTATCTTATCCCTGACCTTTGGTCTGATCCAGTCTGGACATTCTTATGTTCCGAGATCAGTTAATACTCATATGAGGGAGTGTCCTGGGGAGTTGACGGAGGTGGAGGGGGGGAGGAAGATTACACAGAAGAAAGAGTAGAGTTTTGC